TCCTTGTAGGTCTCTGGAAATCTCCCTAGTGCCAGATCTCTCCTCAGACCTATAATGTCTCTCTCCAATATGGTATCTCTCATCCTGCTCTCCTCTATTCTTCCCCCAACTCAATATTTTTGCTCCTCCATTTCCTCCTCTCCTCTCCTCTTCTCTTCCTCTCATTCTGGAAGCTCCCTCTTGACTGCCCTCATGCTCCTAATTAGCTCAGGAATTCCTGCACCTTCCCATTCCTGGGGCCCATGCATTTTTCCCTTAGAGTCCTTTAAGTTAGGATAGTCATGCAAACTAAGTTACAGTTACAGTGTTCTAATTATTAATATGTCTGCTGTTTAACATTATCAATAAATTCTAGCTAAAGAAAATGCTTTCATTTTTGAATAATATACAGTCAAGATTGGCAAGACCCCAGAAACCCCAGAGTCCCTAAAAACATGATATGCTTATACAGTGGCCTCTGACTTCGAGATGCTTGTGGATCTGGGCCCCAGGCTGGCACTACATATTGTACTGAATCCTGAAATGCACTCTGTATTTTGGTATCCCACCATCTGTCACTTGGCATTGCAGTGAATACCACAGACACTAATTCCCGGGGCTCCTTGGCATGGCAGATACTATTTAATCATCTTCATATTATTTAGGGTCAATGCTGAATAAAAGAAGTGACTCTACACACTTGATTATAGAAAGGCAAATGACAAGTTTTGCTGTGAGTAAATTATCAGATTAATCTGATGGTGTGTGTGTGTGTGTGTGTGTGTGTGTGTGTGTGTGAGAGAGAGAGAGAGAGAGAGAGAGAGAGAGAGAGAGAGAGACTAGGTTTATCTTGTATGAAGGACCTAGTTGCTTATTAAGAAAAATAGTTCTCCCCAATGTTTCTATATTACAATATCTCTTTAACATCTCTTTAGCTAATTATTGCAATGCATTTTGTGGAGAAAAATCTCACTGTGATGTTTTCATTGTTTTTGAAGAATCATGAAATGGGGAACCTGATTGCCCTAGCACAATACTGCTTCTGTGTCAGACATCATTGAAGAAATATTTCTTCTCTTACAGATATCTCCTGTAATGGAAGCAGAAGAGTTAACTAATGATATATTAGCAATAAAAAATATTGTTCCTAGTAAAGGTGATATTTGGGCTACATTTGAAGTCATTGAAAATGAAGAGCTAGGTGAGTGGCTTTTATGCTAGAGATTCTTTAATTCGTTATAGAAAGAAGTACACTCCATGACTAGTACTAACATTAGCTGTTTTCCAAGAGATTCCCATTTCATTATGAATTCCATTCTACCTCTGTGTCTGTCTTGGCATATGTTATCACCACTTGAGGTTTACATCCCATGATGTTGCTTATCAGAATAATTAATTCTTTCATTTATTATATAAATAAGTATGGATCCTTAGGTATACTTTTGCTGCCTCATTAAATAATGTTTGATTTATAATAATATCCTAAATGTCACCTCCCATCACTTTATCTCTGTATGGTCTTAGTAAGAACAAATGATAACTATTTAAAAGATTATGGCTCTCTCCAAACCAATAATTTTAGATCCAGCAGAAATCTCTCTTTTGGCTGTTTCATTTTCTTCTATCCTCAGTGTATCACGTTGTCTTCTTTTCTCCCAAATAAACTGAAGACTAAAGAGACCATTTCAAACACCTTGACTAGCCTGCTTCTGAAGTGCTGAATAAGCTTAACATTCTAATGACACCATTTGGTTTTAAAGACCTCTAGGAAAAAAATAAGATACAGAATTTCATTGTACCTTGACCATCTGTCTAGCTGATACCTCCTAAGGTCTTGGGACCCTTTCAAGTGTAGCTGTCAAACTGCCAAAAGGAAGACCTTGCCACCCACGAGCTCAAGATAAAAATTAAAATTCAATGTTGAGCTACCCCAGGATGCATTATTTGGAATATTGAAGTCAGAATTAGAATGGAAGGGGTTTAGTATGGACTCCTTCATCACTCCATCTCAATATTTTTATTCATTTGATTTTTTCATGCATAATTCCTTAAAAATTAATGGGACTTACAATATGATATTGTCAATATGCCTTGTCAAGATACAGTATCATTGGTGCTTGGGTGTCAATTCTCAGTATCTTCCTTCATTAGACTTGGTCCCCACTGGACAGAATTGTGCTGGCAAGTGACTCCTGTGACCTCCAACTGTGAAGCTCAGCAGCCCAGCTTTCAGCTTCCCTCTCCCTGACATTGTGCCATTGATTGTTAATGACCTTTCTTTTTTTCCTGTGCTGATATCCAGTCTATTTTCAGTACTGCCTCCATGTTCTTGATTTCTCAGTCGTTCTCTCAAATGTATACGTTCTTCCTCTCTATCCATTGTTAAAAACTATGTTCATTTTTTATGAAATTCCTTTTGTTATCTTTTTCTACTTTTACATATCGTTTGTGTTTTACTGGAGATGGCATTTTTTTTTTTTATCTATATCTTTGTTATTCCCCACTGGCCTCTTTTAAAGTCTGGAACCAAAGTGTCTCTGCAGTGACCTGCATTGGTGCTCATGCTACGTGCCTTAATAAATGTTTCATGGTAGAGTTAGTTAGTATATTTTTGGTTTAATTTGGTTTTGCCTCTAATTTCCAACGCTCTGCACTATAAATAAGAGCAATAAATTTAATATCTTGACTAAATAAAGCATAGTATATAACCCTATGATCTAGATTCTTTTGATTTTTTTCCCTAAAAGAAATCATTTTGATTCCCACCCTCACTGTATTTGTGGGTGGGAATTATTATTATCATTATTGCCAAGATTAACTATGTAAGTCACAAACCGGTTTACATTGTTCCATCATTAAGATCATCTTTTCATTGCTTCCTTATTCCATCATTTTGACCTTCCACAAAATTTCCAGACATGGATAATAATGCTCAAGTTTTTTGCGGGGGGAATCTTTTCATTGCTTCCTTATTCCATCATTTTGACCTTCCACAAAATTTCTAGACATGGATAATAATGCTCAAGTTTTTTGCTGGGGGGGGTTCAGGAAGAAATATTAATACTCTCTGTTGCAGATATCAATGGAGTCCTCATTTCTACCCTGAACTTACAACCTAAGGCTATGTTATCGACATTTCAATCCATATTCTAGGCTTCTGTGATAGAGACCATAAATGTTTATTAATTTCTGTTTATTCCATGCTAGGTCTCTATTACCCTTCTCCAGACATTACCAAACTCCTCCCACAGATCAATTAACAGCCTTCTGACTCATGTATAAACTGCGATCATATCTATGAACCATTATTTTTTTCTGTTGAATTTCTGTTCAACAGCTTTCTGTTCTTGTCACAAATAGCAGTGATAAACCATATAAAAGGGGGAGAGAGTTCTTTTGTCTCACCACTCAGATATTTCATTGTATGCTTTGTTGACCTTTGGTCCTGTGTGGGGCAAAACACCTTGGCCGGGAGTATGAAGCAGGAAAAAGCTGCAGGTCACTTGAGAGTGAGGAAGCAAAGAGACAAAGTCGGGGTCTCAATTTGTCCTTCAAGAGCATGCCCCAGTGAGCTGGCATCCTTCATTTAGAGAACACTAGACACAGGTTTCACTATACCCGAAGAGCACCATAGGCCCTGGCCAAATCTTCAACACATGACCTTTGGAGATCATTCAGAACCTAAGCTGTAGCAGAGAGGTTTGAATTTTGTTTGTTTGTTTTGTCTCCATCAGCAACTATTCTGCTCTAAGCAGTGCTGTGGTTTTAGTACTTAACCCCAACCTGATCTTACCCTACCTGTATGTACTCTACTTCTCAAAGAATTATCTGCTTGAGGAGCCTCCTTTAAGTAGACTTCACTGAGGATTTTGGGTTTGTTAAGAAAGTACTTATTGTTCAGCAATATGATAGCAAAACACTTCCTCTTCACTTGTAAATACTATGGTATGGAAGAACTACATGCTTTTTATTAATATTATTTCAAGCTCTTTCCCCTCACCTGTATGTAAAATAATAACAAAATGCCAGTTGGAATGAAGAGAGGATTTTGCCCTGAGTTTGGCTCAAAGAATTAGAAGTGGAAATGCCATAATCATTGTGGAAACCTGTGCTATCAATGGTAGATATTTATTGATAGCAGCTGTTATTTCCAATGAAAATTCACTAGCTTTCCTATTGAACTAAGTAGATGAGGTTAATTCTTTGCATATGATTTTTAACACTTAATGACATTATTTTTCTGAAACTGGAGAACTTTCTTCCTAACCTGTTCTCTCTTTACACTGAATTTTTGTCAGTATGCATGAAGTAGACAGTACAAAATGCTGATTCTAGATAATGTCCTGCACCCATATGATACATGCCCTATCCTATATAATCTGCCATGACACAAGGTGACATAAGGCTGCAAATAGCACCATCAACAAACATACAGTTATAACTATTTGTATTCTAACAGTGCTTGATACCTCAGTCTATTTTTCAACCCTTTCTTAAATTGGAAATTTGTGTCATTTAACACTTGTGTTTGATGGACGGCAGTATTGGTCTCTTCATTTTCAATCTCATTTTTTATCTAGGAAATTGAAATTGCAAGGTTCTCATCCTCCTCAATTATTTCATGCAGTGAACCTGATCAGAAAAAAAGTACATTTAAATTTTGTGACAAGAATTAATTATCTACCCATTAACAAGCCTCTGTGTCTACTCTAACACATTTCAGTATAGTGAGAACACAGTTCCAGCAATATAGAATCTGCTTATAATTGAGTGTGATAGTTATGCTTTTGGTATCGGTCTTCTGATAATTGGAAATCTCATTATCAATTCTATTGCATGGCTCATCCCCTACTCCAATATGAGTGTTATACCTGCCTTGTCAGACCTAATGCTCAATCATTTCCTTACATGTAATGTTGAAACTACTGCTACTGTTTCTTAACAATGAAAGGAAGAAGGCAAACTAATTTTTTTTTGCTCATATTAACTTATTTTGATTCAAAAACATCTTTGGCTCTTTTCCCTCCCAAATATCACATATCAGCAACCATTATGAGAGACTTATATTATTGACCAAAATAATCCTAAGAATTGAACTTAAAATATCAGGACTTAAAGTGCAGTAGGTTTAGGATTCAAAATCTGGTTCCTGCCATACTTGGTAGATGAGTAGACCAAAGGAGGAAGTTCTGTGAGAAGTCCTCTTATATATAAAGTAAGAAGATTAATGACTGGTACTGAAGAGTTGAGTTGTGAGAATGTAAGTAATTATTGATATATCATACATAATACATACAGTATCTGCGCAGTGCTTATCCTGGAAATTGACAGCCTCTACTGGGATCATTACTATCAGCCTGTATGTGGTTGATTCAACAGTTGTGTAATTACAGTTGTGTGATTAGACTTATATTTGGATGTATCTACTCCCAACTACCAGAGGATTTGTTTGTGAGTCCATCTCTTTAATCAGGAATTGAGTTAGACAATTAATTAGACAAATTATAAGCAATTTGGACCTTTGTCCAATTTTTCAGAAAAGATTTGTAAAAAGCAAAATTAATTTAACACAAACAATTGTCACTTTTCTGTCCTTTGGTTTTACAAAGACAATCTTTTGTTTATCTGATAAGTATTTTCTGTTAATTTATGTACTATGATATAAACTCATAATGGATTTGAGACCTGAGAATCTACTATGTAGTCAGCATTGTGTTCTGTTCATGTATATCCTTATGATGCATGGTTAATAGCTATTATGATAATAAGTAAGCATGTTTTAATGGGCACAGAAGGATGAACAACATTTCCATTTATGGATAAGAAGCCAAAATTTCAATCTCTCTCTTGAAGAACTCGTTTTACTGATAACTTCTCTTTTCTTAAATAATGTAGTCATAGCAGGAGATGAGGTGATGTATTTATTGTTCTCATGATTCTTTCAGCAGTTTTGGTGGGATTAGTCAACAGATAGGTACTCTTGGCATATTCTTTATTTGTTGTTAGCATTAGTACTTTAACTATAAACATAGTCTAGAATTGATGTGATGTACATTTTGTGAGTGAAATAATTTACTGATGCACAGCTGCAAATTTGGGAAAGAACAGTGGCATCTTTATATCAGAACTTTTGTTCTGTCTGCTTCTTTATTTCCTGCTATCTCACTATTAATAAGCTTGAATATCCCCAGAAAATACTTTTATGTACACATTTTATTAACCAATTGACATATTTTAATCTACAAATATAACTCTTTCATGAAATTTTAATTATTGTTGAAAATGTTTTGTAAAACACCATGCTAAGAATGTATGATGCAGTTTTCTAAACCAAAATACAGATGGATTAAGAGTCATCAAAGAGATTTGCTTCAGACATCATTTAATTCCTTGCTTGTAGGCTTATTGTGTAGAGTTAATTTATAATATCATCACAAAGTTAATATATTTCTACTAATAGTTAAAGTGGAATAAGCAATGTACTATTATTTTCAAAGGTTCTCTGCAACCATTTTTTATGATTTGATATTGATTCACTATGAGAATACTATCTATAAACTATTCACTATTATTGATTGGAAATTATAAGATTATAATCTTATTGAGATAAACAAAGGTTTATTATTTTTGGACAAGATTAATCTACTAGTCCTCTTAAAGTTGTTTAATTGCATGTGCTAATAGGAATGTTAGCTAAATTAAAAACAGGCTAAGACACATGGTCATTGTTGTAAATGAGATTTTATCTTAAAGACAGCACATCTAAATTTTGAAATAATAGGTGCATAGATTAATTTATATAATAATTTGGACTGCCATGTGTTACCTGTGTGTATTTGGTTATCTTGTTTACAATTCTAGTACTGTCACTGTGTAATGAAAAATGTTTATGCCACCACATACATATCTTTCCATGGGATTTTTAAAAACCTGTAATCATTAAATGTGTTTCTGCATCTGTTTCAGCTTAACTTGGGTTTGTGTTTGCAGAGCGTCCTCTTCACTACACAGAGAATGTGCTAGAGCAGGTGCTTCAGTGGAGTTCATTAGCTGAACCTGGTTCTGCTTATCTTGTGGTGAAGAGATTCTTAACTGTTGACATAATTAAACACTGCAGAGGTAGGTGCACTTCCTTCACATTGGAAAGGTGGTTAAAAGTTCAAGTAGCTGAAGAGTAGTTATTAAGACACAAGTGGTATCTGACAATGGGAAAAAGGAGTGGGAAAATACAGACTCTGATTCCATGGTATTGTGAGGAAGTTTAGTGTGTTTCACTGTGGTGGTAACTGGCTCATGTGATGGTACCTGCTAATGTTCTGAAAGTAATGGATATTTTTTTCCCCTATGGGTAGTTTGTTTTTATACATGTTCTAGTTTTTATTTTGTGGGGTCATCTTGAATTATGTAGACATCAATTTCTTGCCATTTGAGATTGAGTGTGTGGTATAAGTCCCACTGTTATTTTGATGATGTTTACAAATAAAATAAACACAAATGCAGGGGCACAACATTTAACTGAAAGAAATGGAAATACCCTACAATGTTCAACAAGAAGTCAGCTAGCAGAGAAAACCACAGGCAATGGTCTCTCAACACATATGAGATGTCAAAGGCTTGATCTTGACACTTTTCTTCTATTGTGTAGTCATCAGTTGACAATTCAGATCAGCATTTCACCTGGGCTTATCCTTAACGCTAAGCATTAAGATCTGTTAATATAAAGTTGTGTATTACATCAATAAAGAAGGTCTACAATAACCATTACTACTTATTATTCATATACAATTAACCAAGCACTAGAGAGAGCATAGATCATTTAAAATTCTAACAGTATTTAATTTATTATTTAGAAATGAGTATCTTTGGCAAAAGTCCTTCTACTAATTCATCTCCTTCAATTTTTCCCCTTTGCCATTTACCACATATGGCGGTTTGAATGAGATTTTCTTTTGAATGCTTGGTCCCAGTTGTTGAACTGTTTGGAAAGGATTAAGAGGAGTAGCCTTGGAGGATGTGTGTTACTGGAAATTGGCTTTATGGTTTCAAAAGAGGATGTCATGCCAAGTCTCTCTCTGTCTGCTTCATATGGATCAGAATGTAGCTCTCAGATACTTCTCCAGCAACTTGCCTGCCTTCCTGATGTAATGTTCCCTCCCATGAAGGTTAATGGACTAAACCATTTAATGCTGTAAGCAATGTTTTACAAAACATTGTCTTTGTGAAACCAGACAAAGGAAAGAAAAGTTAAGATTGTTTGTATTGCCTTGACCATGGTGTCCCTTCATAGCAATCAAAAAGTAACTAAGACACTGCTTTTTCCTTCTAGGTTTAAATGTTCTTAATTTGTCTGTCTGTTGTGTCTCTCTCTTTTAATGCTCCATTTGGTGCCTTTGTAAATGTACATAGATATGGGAACATTTATTAGATCATAGGTAGCCTCTCAGGGCCTGCATCTCAGAAGAAAACCAACTCTCCTCTCCCAGCAGCCATGAATTGCCAATAGCTCCTTAGACAAAGGTGAGATTTAGTGAACTCCTCTCCAACCAGGTTTTGTCTGGTTTAATCTTGTGCAATTATTCTGCATGCAGTCCCAGGCATGTGAGCCTATGCGTGCAAGTATGTTGCCATGTCCAGAAAACACTGTTTTGCTGCAGACATCCACTTATTTTCTTTCTCCTCCAGTCTACTACTAATCCCCAAACTCTGAGAATAGGTAGTATGACATGGAACTCTTATGTAGAGCTACACACTCTGCAGTTCTTATTCTCTCTCTGTACAGGAACTTATTGCAGATCTTTGTTTTGATGGCTCTACTGCAAAATGAAGCTTCTCTGATGAGGGTTGAGAGATGTGCTAGTCTATGAAAATAAAGATAACTTAAGTGTCCATTTAACATTACAATAGTACTAGGTTCAGCCCTAGGGCCTTTAAAAAGCTTTTTTAGAAGTCTATCAATTTTCATATTGTTTTATTTTACAGCAGAAAATTAGAGAAAGTAATGTGATCCACATTCCACAGTTAGTAAATAGTAGTTATCAGACAATTTTTCTATTCTTTAATCATTTTAAGAATTAAAATTAGAAAAAAAATGCCAGGCAGTGGTGATGCACGCCTTTAATCCCAGCACTTGGGAGGCTGAGACTGGTGGATCTTTATGAGTTTGAGGCCAAGCCTCATGTAAAGAGTGAATTCTAAGACAGCCTAGACTACAAGAGAGAACTTTTCTTAAGAAAAAAAGGAAGAAAAAAATAGAATGGGTGGTGGTGGGAGAGCTATAAAATGTTGTGGATGTGTTCCATTGGACTGTAACCTCATACATGCTCATCAGTCAGTGAATTCTTAATTTCACCCAAGTTTAATATAATAGTTTCTGATTTCATAGTACTGTCTTTATAAATTATCAAATTATTTTTATCTAATGTGCTTTTTATTTTTAGTCATCTAAATAAAGAAATGCATACAATTTTAGTATAGAAACTTAGCCTTCCACAGTCTTTGTCTTACTTTAGATCTCTTTACTACCCCAATGTTCCTTCTAATGACATCCTTCTCATACCTGATCATGTGGATGCACCGTGTCATAGACCAGTGTTCTCAATAGGAGGAGGTTGTGACCCTCAGGAACATCTGGAGATGTCTATAGGTCTTTGTGAGCATCACAACATGGGAAGTGTGGTGAACCTGGGTTTTTGATATTTAGATGCCAGGTTCTGCTCATTGGTCTGGAAAGCACAGAGAAGTCTGTGGAGTTCAACTCAAATGGCACTGGTGCCAACTTAGACCATCTCTGGAGTGTCTTTTATCTATTTATGTGCTATTCTTCTTAAACCTGTCATAAAAAAATGTTAGGAAAAAAACACAGGAATTTTCAAGGCCATTGGTTCTATTTCCACTCTTCCCCCCAAAATTTAAATATCAAAGAATAATTATTTTCTTTATGGATTATCTCCTCTTAATATCATGGCATATATCTTATCACTTCCTGTTTAAAATCAAAATAAATTTTCTTTTGTATCCAGTGTTAACCTTTCAGTGATAATATTCTTCTAACGTTGTTGAATTGTCCACCTATCCAGTTGTTTAAAATTTACACCTACATGCAATATCTTGACTGTTGATTAACTACTAGTCCTGACAATATGGTTTAAAAAAATGTAAGAAATTGAAATGTTATTAGAGGAAGGAAGGTTTTGTGCACACAGGGATTGTGTATCCCCAACAGGAATACCCTTCATGGTTGTTCAATTGTCAAAAAAAAAAAAAAAGCCAGGAATGCATAGATTTAGTTGATTAAGAGAAATAGGAGAAACTCTTCGTCATCTGCTCTTACAGCACTGATAACAAACTGGGTATTACCTTAGTGCCAAGATATTCCTCTATATAATCCTGATGGGTATGAGTCAGTGCTTATGTAAAAGTCTCTGTAAACATCCTCTGTAATTATTGCAGAACTCAAGCAGAGGAAAGAAACCATCCCTAAGGAACATTTGTAATTGTATATTTTATTACTTAAAACAATTTTTAATTTGAAATATATTTTGATCTTATTCTTCCATTCCCCTAAGTTCTTCAGATTCTTTCCCCTTCTCTACCCATGCAACTTTTAAGTTATATCTCTCAAAAACCCACCAAAACCCAATACAACAACTCCCCAAACCAATAAAACATAATAAAACAACACCTACCTCTGCCCTATAGAACCTACACCAAATTGTGACCAAATAAAAGCACACACAAAAGAACTGTGCTGTCCATTACATGTTGGTCAACTACTCCTGACAATGAGGTCTGTCCTGGAGTGGTTGATACAACCAAAGTTGTATCTGAAGAAAATAAAGTTGTACACTGAAGAAAATAGTTCCCCCCATTCCCATCAGCCGATGTATGTATACTTCAGTTGTTAACCTTTACCTTAGTAGCTAAGTTTTCATTAATCCATTCATTAATTGTTTTCAGACAATTGGATGATGCATTTTTTTTCAGCATATTATGTTAGCAAACATTGGTTTAGTCTTTTATTCCCTGCATTCCTCTTTACAACAATGGAGGCCATGAGAAAATTTTCTATTTCCATATTGTCCCTAGCTCATTTGTCAGTATATTTGCAGCTATCATTCCTTATACTGTGTGTAGCTCATTCTTCCAGGAATTAATATACATCCCTTAAAGTGAATGAGATCCTAGAAAAGTAACAGAAGTAAATGTTTTGGTTGAAGAATTTTCTGTTAGTAGTTGTTATTTGGGGCTCCAAATAGGAATTCCAGGCTGCTTAAAAGATTTTAACTCTTTATTCCATAAATTTCCCATTAATGTTTTAAAAGGGGGTTGATGGATACTCAAATTATTATAGCAAAATAACCTCTTTTGTTACAGTTATGTTTACATATGCTACAAGTTGGGATTATCTTTTTAAATTAGCTATAGACTTTTTAAATGTCAGTGTCTTGAATAATGATTTTCACCAATGAGTTTGTTTTTCTGTAATCTTAACTTTCTTATTGTCTTTTGTATATTGTGATAGATTTTGGATGTGCTAGGTATTCAGTCTTATTTGTGTCTGTTGGCAAATGATTCTGTAATCACACTGACTCCCTTTTCTAGATTAGTGTTCCACTTCTGACATCCATTACACCCTACAATTTGTATATAAAAATAATATAAGCATGGCTGATGTGATTTCCCTAACAATTTATTAGCAGAAAACTTTGCTTTAAGAAAAAGTCATTCTTAAAAAGCAGTGGATGAGTGATATTAAAGATCTTTTGCCCATATATTTAAGAATTCTTAGTGACAAAGTAGATATCAGTGCTTTGATAACAAGTTCAATTGGATGTAACCACATTTTGTATAAATAACAGACATCTAATGCTTTAACATCTCCTTAAAACAAATTTGGCACAGTACATGCTTAGCAAGTGTAAGTTCTCACTTCAATCTATAGCAATTTTAAGAAATTGCACTAAAACATCCTTTGCTGTCTCTTTTTTCCTAACTATTTGACCTATTTCATTGTCACTGGCTGTGTCTTCTGAAACTTTCATTCATTCCTTCGTTATGTATTTATATTTCATTTTATTGATTCTGTAAGATTTTCTCATTATATGGAATGAGCATATGAA